AATTTAATTTTTTCGCTTACAAATATAATTTAATTTATTTGTGGCCTGTATTAATGTAATACGTCTAACATTAATCAGTGATGTAAAGACTTTAACAGACGTAATAAATTGTATGCTTCGTTTTTTCCTCAGATGCTATGTGACTTTCTACAGTAATGCAGTGACGCATGTGTCTTTTTTTCCTCAGATGCAGTGATGTATGTGATGCATGTGAGTTTGTGCAGTGATGTAGTGATGCATGTGACGTGCAGTGATACAGTGATGCATGTGACTTAATGCAGTGATTCAGTGATGCAGTGATGCATGTGACTTTCTGACTTTGTAAATTATATACTTTGTGACTTTTTTCCTCATATGTAGTGATGTATGTGACTTTGTACAGCGCGACTTAGATGCTTTGTTTTTTCCTCACATTTCAAAATTAATCTAAGTCACATTAATACGATCACATGGCAATAGTGTTGATAAACAATTATATAAATGAGTGAAGTGTAATTTACCGAATACAAAAACAAGCAGAAAATGCAAAGAGGAGAAAAGGGGATGCTTATGAAGTTTCATTAAGTGAAAATAAGATAAAATATAGGCTGCAGTGCCAATCTTCTTTACATATTAAGTGGCCATTTTATTATTTTGTTTTGTTTGTGTTTTGAACATTGTTTTGGTGAAAAAATCAACGATAATTTTGTAGGTCGAAGTGAGTTGGAAGGTTGTGTATTTACTTGCACTCTGTTTCATAGTTATTTATGAACAATGTTACTTTAAAACAAAGAAAATTAAAGCCGTTGTTTCATTTTATGATTTAATTTATAATTTTTTGAAAACACCAATTTGTACTGAAGTCGTCAGTTCGAAGTGACTACTTACTGTATTAAAAAAGCAAGCATGAAAAAATAGTTCAATGTGGCGATGTGACAACTCACTGCATTACTGATTAATTTGACAACTCACTGCTCAAATATGAAGGGATTGCATTGTGAAAAAGATGACCTATAATTATGATTTTATCTGACAACCATGTCCGTGACTACATCACAGGTACACAAAGTCACGGGTACTCATGATTGCATGAAATGAATAAGATACAATAATATAGCGGGTATCACTTTTTCCATAGTGCCCCAACTCAATTATCGTCATGAGGTCATCTCTAGTTAACCCTCAGTATGATATCTATAAATAGCGCTACCCCCAGTATGATATTTGTTCAAGTCATAACAATAGTAATATATCTACAATTACTATTATTATTAATTTTTTTATTTTATGAACAATGTCTTCAAAAGGTGCAGGACGTTCATGCCATCAAGAAAATCCAAAAGTGTGGCTACTACCTCCATTTTCTTATGACTACAAGAGCGAAAAGTACTCGAGTCCGAAGGTTATTATGCTGGTATCTGAGCAGAATGAGCGTTCAGGGTAACGGAGCAAGAAGGATTGTTTAATGATCTACGTAACTTTGGGGCACCGGTACCTCATCGTCGTTCATTGACCATGGCTAGACGAAATGTGAGTGACTATGAACAAGCAGTTAGCAGAATTAAGAAGGAGAACAACAAAATGTTGATGCGGAGATGTCGACATTTCATGCTTTAACTAGCCACCGAAATGGCAGAAGCAAGCAACAGAGATTTGACAGTGATTGAGCGAAATAATGTCTTAAACAATGAAAAATATCTCTCTGACTACTACATGTCAGATGAGGAATGAGAAATCAAACACCTTTATCTTTCTTATATGTTTGTATGTTGTGTCGTATCTTCGTTACTGGAGTGTAAGACAATATTGTTGTTCATCTAACTTACGGATGTATTTCAACTATTTGTTATATGAACCTGAAGTTTATGAAATAACTACATTTATAAGTATACATGTCAAGATTCGTTATGAATTTGTATAAGCATTGCAAAGCCATTACACATGGTAGCTGTATGTTTGAAATTATTGTAAACAACTATGCATCAGAGTTGTCACGTCAACTTTTATGACCTGAACAACTATGCATCAACTTTATACGAGTTGTCACTTCGACTTTTATTTACTACTCAATGCATATCTGAAGGTTTTAAGCAAAGTTCAAATCCGCTTAGAAATTTAATTTCATTTTTCATCATACATATTTCATTTAATTTAATTAGAGAAGTTTGACCAATTTAATTTGAAATTACCTATGTGTTGATTTAAGTCAGTGTTATTCTTGTCTGCATACTAGGCTTAAAAATTAATCAAAAGGCCTTCTAAATATTTAATTTGCACTTTAGGATTGACCACCAAAATATTACAGATTGTAATATTATTATTATTTAATTATTTACTTAATTTTTATATTCGGGTTCTCACAGAACATGTAGCTCAGTCAAAATTTTCCCTCAACAAGGGCTCCTCAAATAGTGACCTCTACGTAAAGAATTTCAATCTCTATCGGATAAGAAGAAAGAGTCACCTTCCAATTCCTGGAAGTCCAGTAAAAATGATGACTCTGATAAGGAATGAGGGGTTGGCACAAAACTAAACTTGGGGGCTGGACAAACATTACCCAAAAACAAGTGGTTGGTCCAATTGGGGAACTAATAAAGTTCAAACAAACAAACTACCGCTCAATCAAAAGCTTCCCTTAACTGGGGCTCCTCAAATAGTGATCCTCTACGTAAAGAATTTCAATGTCCATCAGGAAAGAAGTAAGAGTCGCCTTTCAATTCTTGGTAGTCCCGTCAAAATGATGACTCTGGTAAGGAATGTGGGGTTGACAGAAAACTAAACTTGGGAGCAGGGCAAACAACCTCAGAGCCAAGTGGTTGGTCCAGTTGGGGGATTAATAAATTTTCAAAAAACTGTTCTTGGAAATTCAAAAACCAAGTAAGTTTTGGATTTAAAATTTATAAAATTTATTTTTAATTTATACAAGCAAACAAAATTTTAAGTTTGACAAACTCTTTTAAAAAATGTAATTATAATATTCATTTCAAAATAACTTTATAATACGGATCATCTATTTGATGCAGTGATGCAGTGACATTGAACACGATCAATAAATTAATCCCCTACGAATTGGTGAATTTTACATGGGCACAATAAACTTCGTACGCATGCGTACTTCTTTCATACAGTGAGTAGTCACTTCGAAGTTACGATATCGAGGTCTGAAATATGGTGTTTTGAAGAAATTTGAAATTCAATCATAAAATCAAATGGAAGAGGATAGAAGATAAACTGCTATACTAGTTCATGACTTGTTAACATGCAGTGACTTATAAAGTCAGTTTTTCATTTTTTCTTACATCCCTCGTTACAGTGAGTAGTCACTGAGTTGTCACATCGAACATGCAAGTGAGTTATGTTCCAAGAAATTCAAGTTGCGTTTCTAACACCCCTCGCCCTTTTTACTACATTGACAGTGTCACATGGCAACAATGACTTTGCGCATACGCTTTAATTTTCACTGATTTACCTTATAGTGAGCATGCCCTTATTTTGTCGGTATATGCAGATGGTTTGTCAAGTCATGTGACTTGGTGCACAGGCATTGGTTTTCTCGATTTTTTGATTACAGTGACAACTCATCTCTTATTGATATATGTGGGATTGTCAATTCATAAAGTCACATGGCAACAGTGAATTCACTGATTTACCTTATAGTGAACATGCCCTTATTTTGTCGGTATATGCAGATGGATTGTCAAGTCATGTGACTTGGTGCACAGACATGGCTTTTCTCTGTTTTCTGATTACAGTGATAACTCAGTTCTTTATTGATATATGTGGGATTGTCAATTCAGAAAGTCACATGGCAACAGTGAATTCACAGTATTTGTTTTTCTCTGTTTTTTCATTCTAGTGACAACTCATACCTTGTTCGTATATGTAGGATTGTCATGCAGAGGCATTTATTTTCTATGGTTTTTCCTTTAGTGTCTTTCTAAAGCCGTTCATAACCAACTATATAAATGACTAAAGGTGAAGACACAACCTTACAACTCATTTCGCCCTACGAAATTATCATTCATTTGTTTAAAAAAATTAGCATGGCTACACGATTCATGGGAGGGAGTGCGAATCGCAGAGGTGGTAGGAACTTGCAAAGGGGTGACAGTTCATGACGAGGAGGGAGAAGGGGACGTGGCGATGCTGAAGACGAAACAACAATACCTGTTTTAGATTATGCTTGTGGTTATCATGATAGGTTTGGGAAGCGACATTTTTTGATGCCCTAGTATTATCGAGTTCAAGGAGGTTCATGTATGGAGCCATTTGACAATCAAACAGGATATGGTTTATCTGACGCTGCTCGTCTGAAGTGGCCCGCACTATTTATAGAGCGGGCACAGCTAGAAACCTTAACTCGGGAAAATCAACTTAAGGTGCCAAAACACGTTCTGTTGAGATCCAAAAGGAAGATCCTGATAATGTTGATCGACTATGTGAAAGACTACAACGTGAGATTTCTCAAATGCGCCGTAGGTTAGCTCGCAATATGCAACTATACATAGTTAAGAAGGATGCCCAGAAGAACAGAACAAAACCAAATGTTGCGGCTATCAAGGGTATCATGGAGGATCTTGAACTTGTCTTTGACCCTGAGCTTTCGGATTATTCAGACTCTGAAATTGCCGATTTAAGCGCGAATTAAGTGTTTATGTCTATACTTCGGCAATATTAGGTCATGCATTAATATGTAATGTGTGTGTTAGACTAAGTGTTTCCGTTATGAGTTTGTCAGATTGTCTGCCTAATATTTGTCTATCTAACTGTTATGTTTATGTATTGTGTGTTCAGTTTAGGGTGTCCACGATGTATGTATTGTGCGTTCAGTTCATGGTGTCCAGAATGTATTTTTGTAGGAGACTTATGTCTGTACTACCTATGTAACTAAAAACTGTTACATTTACAACTTCAGTTATGTTGTTTTTATGCCCGTATGAGTATTTAGTAAATTAGTGACTTTGTATATTATGTATTAAGTTTTATTACAAAAATGTTGACAAAATTTATTTTAAGGGAAATACACATTCTCTTAACTTGTTCATCTTCTCAATCGTGACAATCCAAAAATGTAACCATTATTCATTGAATATAACAAATAACGTTCTCATTCTTACAAAAAATACACTACCAATTGAATAAAACAAATAACCTTTCCATTCATTTATTCATTGTACAACATCAGTCTTATGAAATAAGCGAAACCAATTGAATCACAATAACATCAACTCTAACCCAATATTTACATTACATAAGTTCCTGTTCGTAATCAGACACCAAATTACATACAAGTTATATTACATAGCAAAAAACAGAAAAAGTACCATTCGTATGTAAAAAATACATCACCAAAATTTAAGGTATTTCTCTTCTTCCTTCTTGCTGCAGCTCTCGCGGTGGCCTTCGTCTTCTAGGCCTTCTCCGCGGTGCTCTTCGCGTCTCACCCTTCGTCATTGTTCGTCGAAGTGCAGAGTGTGTGGGTGTGCTTCGGACTGTAGAGCATGTATATTACCTTCTAACCCAAAACAAAGACGAAAGAAAAAAAAAATTAATGAAAATGGCTAGAAAACGGTTTTACTAAACTGGTTTTCTGAATTACATTATCACCTTCTAACCCAAAACAAAGGCAAAAGAAAAAAAAAATTAAATGAAAATATATAGTTTTAGTAAAGTCAAAAAAAATTTCTGAATTACATTATCACCTTCTAACCCAAAATAAAGATAAAAGAAAAAAAAAATTAAATGAAAACGACTTTAGTAAAGCCAAAAAAAATTTCTGAATTATACATTCTAACCCAAAATAAAGACAAAAGTTTTTTTTTTTTTTTACATGAAAACGGCTTTAATAAAGCCAAAAAATATTTCTAAATTACATTATCACCTTCTAACCCAAAGCAAAGACAAAAGAAAAAATAAAAAAAATTTACATAAAAACGGCTTTAGTAAAGCAAAAAAAAATTTCTGAATTACACATTTTAACCCAAAACAAAGACAAAAGAAACAAAAAATAAATTAACATGAGAACGACTTTAGTAAAGTCAAAAAAAAAATTTTGAATTACATTATCACCAAAAAAAAAAAATTTACATGAAAACGGCTTTAGGAAAGTCGTATTAGAAAACGGTTTTAGTAAACTCGTTTTCTGAATTATATTATCACCAGAACAAAGACAACAGAAAAAAAAATAAATTAAAACACTTTTAGGAAAGCCGTATTAGAAAACGGTTTTAACAAACCCATTTTCTGAATTACATCAGAACAAAGACAACAGAAAAAAAATACACAGAAAAAAAAAATTACATGAAAAATATTTTGTGGCAATTTTATGTTGAAAAATACAAACGGATTGTACAATGTTAAAAGCGTGGTTGTAATCCATGCTTTTTGTAGTGAATAGTGAAAGCGTGTTTGTAATCCACGCGTTCTGAAGTGAACAGTGAAAGCGTGATTGTGAATCACGTTTTTTTTCAGAAAAACAAAATTTAATTATAAGCACAGTAAAAGCGTGGTTTGGAACCACGTTTTCTGAAGAAAATAAATTTTGCTTAAAAGCGTGCTTTCTAACCACGTTTTATGTATAAATAAAATTTCCTTAAAAGCGTGATTACAAAACACGCTTTCTTAATTAAAAGCGTGGTTTGTAACCACGCTTTTAATATTTCACTAATTTTTTGCCGGAGGGGCCTGAAAACAGTGAAAAGCGTGGTTTGTAATAGCGCTTTAGTTTAGTTTGAAAATTCCGTCCAAATTAAACCTAATTTGAAAAATAAAATTGCTATTTTAGCTTAATTTGGGAAAGCCTCCAACAGCTGGGCACTTTCGTAATTAAAAGTAAGTACTACACGACTAGGATCATATTCACATTTCCCTCTTTCTTACATGTATAAAGTAAGTACTACACGACTAGGATCATATTCACATTTCCCTCTTTCTTACATGTATAAAGTCTTGATTTGTTTAATATCATCACATCTCAGCTCATCTCATCACATTATTACAAACCCAAGAAATTCTGAGAAGAGAAAGTTTGGTTGGAAAGAGATCCAATTCTAGATGGGTTTTGTGAGTTTTCTCAAGTTGGGTTTGAAGTGCTTCTTCGATTTCCTGGCTTGGTATGAATCATTTGTTTTCTCTGGCTACACCAAGAAAGTGAAAGAATTTTTTTGCATTATTTAGTTACCTTTTATCTTTACTCCTCTGTTTTTGATTTTCTCTTCGAATGTCCAACTTTCACGTTAGATATACTAGCCGATCTTTGTTAAGTTGATTTTCAGATTTATCTCTATGTTTTGTTCCAACCTTATTTGTATATACATGTGTATGTGTATATATATATGTGTACGTACGTACATATGCATGTAGATACATACATATATATATATATATAATCTTACGTATTCATGTATTTTACTTACAGGCCTCTTTTTGCTCTGGTCTGTCCTCTGTAAGCTCTCTCTCTCTCTAGTTTTTGATGACCAAAGAGTAAAGTTGTTAACTTCTTATGCTATTGCGATTCAGAAATTTAGTATATAAAATTCAGGGGTTCTACAAATGTCATAACTAAAATTTTTAGCATCAGTAATTATAAAAAAAAATAAAAAAAATGGGCATAACCAAACACCATAACAAATAACTAAAATAATAATCACAATAAATGAGTCATAATCAAAATCACAAAAGTCATAATTGGGCATATCGTATAATTTATTTATTTATTTTTTAATTTTTTTTATAAAAATAATGAGATTTGGTGAGAAATAAACTGACTGGTTATAAAATTTTCAAAATATCGATGTTGTCCATTAAACTAAAAAGGAGTAAAATTTTTTAACTTATCCAAACATGACAGTGAGATTTTTTTTTTTTTTTCCTCACCTGTTATAATCCTTGTTTTAATAGATTTTGCTTTGTTATATTTGTTGATCTGTTTGACAGATATGCCTCAGTTCAGGCAATCGAGAGTAATTCCAACTCGGACATGCGAAATTTGGTGGCATATTGGATTGTTTTCTCTTTGATTTCTCTATTCGAGCTTGCTTTTGCGAAACTCATTGAATGGTAATTAATTATGCCACTATTTACATACCTCATTTTTCTTTTCTTATTTGTTTGAAAAATGAGATTTGTGAATTTCAAAGTTTTCTTCACCTCCTACATTGATTCAAGCATTAAACGAAAATTATGATGTACTTCCATACAAATGAAGAATTGCTAGGGTGAAAAGAGTCATATATAGGAGAACATGTCTAGTAGTCCGCCCTTATAGGGCACATGATCTCTATTCCTAAATCCTTGGCTTGATGTCCCTAGTCCCCAATACACTTCCAATCATTCCTCAAGATTTTTGCATTTTGAGATTCAACCAAGATACAGACCCCACTATCCCCCACCCCCACTACCCCTACACACACACGTGGGGTTTAGTGATTGGAGAGGAAAAAAAAAAAAATTCTGGCCAATCACCGCCCACTGGGGGTCCTAGAGGTCTCCCCCAATGGGGGTCCCAAGCATTATGGTTTGAGATTTTCAACTTAAATTCCAGCCTTGGTGTCCCCTGTCCTCAATGCACTTCCAGCCGCACGATCATGTCTCAAGATTCCTATAGTTCAAGTTTTCCACCTCTTGAATCCTTGGCCTATATTTGTTTATCTGTTGTTGTGTGCTTTTAAATGGAAATAAGTTTATCTGGATTTTACATCTTTTTTCTAGAATTGTTCGATTTATGTAACCAGATTTCATCATTAAGAGGGTAGATTGTGCTTTCTAATTTCCTTATTTGTGCATATGTCAGGCTTCCATTCTGGCCTTACATGAAGCTAATGGCCATTTGTTGGTTGGGGATTCCCAATTTTAAGGGTGCTTGTTATGTTTACGAGTGCCTGATTCATTCATGCTTATCTGTGAATCTACAAGGAGTTATCAAACGCTTCGTTAAACACAAGGATGACCTACCTCTCAATGCAGAAAGCTTTCTAGCTGTGGCAGAGAGGTACGTTAAAGAGAACAGATCAGAAGAGTTGGAGAAACTCATTGATAGATCAAGGCATACGACACCTAACATTGACGAGGAAGATGTGAAGGCAGTAACGAATACAGAGGAAAAAGAAACGGCCACAGCAATCCAGGTAAAGTTTCTTATGCTGCTCTTAAAAACTATGAATCTTATATGTTTCTGTTGTTAAATTTCAGTGGGTCGCTACTAGGGGTAATATCCAATGTTGTGTGGACTGTTCTATTCCCATATAGTGTACCTCTATCTATTGGATATGACAAGGGGAGGGTATGGGATACATGTCCCATCCCCATATTCAAACTATGTGCTTGAATTATCTAATTTTAACGATGTTTGAAGTAAAAGAAGCTCACAATTTATAGTAACTAAAATTCCTAGCCTCTTATTAATAGGAGATAGAAACCCTTCTCCCTTCCCTAAATTTCAATTACATTACACTCCAAAATATCTTATGCCAGGATATAATACAATATACAATACATTTTAATGTTTAGGGCACATCCGTGTACTCATTGAATTAAACAAAGGATTTGTTTGTGCAACAATGGTTAAAGTGTTGAAACCCGATTTTATGTAATCTTATCTAGAACGTGGATCGTTCCGGTATATGGAACTGGAACGGGAACGTGGTATGATTGGGGTTGTATATATTATACTTAAGAATTTAAAATACTTCTAGAGTAATTGTTTTTCAACTATTAGACATCTAATAAAATGTAATATTTTCTATGAGCATTATGACATATTTTTTGATGTTTTTGTTTTGTCAAAACTTAACTCACCTTAGATTTTACTTCATTATATTTGATTTTTTTCCTCCTATGGTAACATTTTAGGACATATATTGAAAAAAAACTTTTGGAATCGCTTTGGATCACTAAATTTACCATTTTGGAAGGAAGTGTACCATGTTTCGGAACATACGTGCCAATATGTAATTCAATAGGGTATTAACTTTTTTTGTTAACATAGTAATCCTCTACGAACCATCTTTTGTGTTAGACATTCGAAGAGCCTAATGTTGCTAAGGAGGATGCTAAAGCAGTGGATCCAAAGGAGAAAATTCTGTCAGATTCAACACACTGGGTAAAGTTTCCTATGTTATTTTCTATCATATTTTATATTTTTATGTAGAGACAACCACTTATGAACCATCTTTTTTTCTTTTCCAGTCCAGATTCGAAGAGCCTTATGTTGCTAACGAGAATGCCAAAGCAGGGGAACTAAACGAGAAAAATCCCACAGCTGCAACAGAACAGGTAATGCCTCCTATCGTATTTTTTGTTATATTTCGGTACCTCATGTGCTGCAATTTTCTGTTCACTTTTCGTTCACTTTTCGTTCATATGTTCAACCCATTTCTCTTACAGTTGCTTTTTTGCTGGTTTAGTTGTACTACAATATTAACGTGCACTATCTTTCTAATGTATTCATCGTGGTTGTTAGAATCGTGTGATACATGATTCGATTTATATGATTCAATATGAGTTTCAACCAATGGTTCAAATATTGTTGTTGAAGAGTGAAGCATACAAATAAATTTTTGATTCGCTATGGTTTGCTGCGATTCAGTTCTGTTTTTTGGTTTTGTTTGGCATAATGCATGAAACGATGTCGTTTTAAGGAAAGCAAGATCAGCAGCTTGGTAATCAGCCTCTGGTAATTACTTATTGCAGGTTAGCTGTGTAGAGCCAAATCTTATTCAAACGGAAAAGAAAACAGTTGCAGCAAGCGAAATCATAGAAAAGATGGTGACTCAAGACGTAAGAGAGAGCAAAGTCGTGGAGGTACCTGCAGTGGCAGGTGGTGGTGGAGAGAACAAAGTCACAGAGATACCTTCTTCAGAGTATGTTCAGAGAGAGTGGACCGCATGTCACTTGACAACCATGTGCGAGAAAAACTTTCAGTCTCATCTTCAAGGGAGAAAACACAAGGCGAAGCTTGCAGCAGAGGAAAAAGAAATCCAGGTAAAGTTTCTTAATGCTGCTCCTAAAATCCATGATTTTTATCTGTTTTCTGTTGTGAAATTTCAATGGGTTGCTACTGTTAGTCTTGCTTAGATTGAGGGGAGAGACCCACTCCTCCATTGGGGTTAGAATTTCGAAAGAGGAAAAATTCATTGTCATTCTTAGGGAAAACTACACTGACCTCCCCTAAGGTTTGGAGAAAATACAACAAGCCCCACAATTTTGGCATAAATACATTGGCCTCCCTTTGATTAAGACTAAATGGACCAAAACTAATACAAATGGTGTGAAAAGACAAAGATAAACAAGGAAAAATACACATTTCAGTGTAAAAAGATGACTATATTTTTTCATCCATATAACTAACAAAATATTAATGAAAATGGGGTTAAGGGTTGTGTGAATTAAAACCTTAAGGAAACGTTTGCCAAAACTGTGGGACTTGCTTTATTTTATCCAAACCTCATGTAATTTACCCTTGTTTTTATGAATCAAATTCTACTTAGATAGAGGACACAGGCAAACTCCTTCAGTGGGTTAAAATTTGGAAACCGGAAACATTCAGTGTTACATTTACATTTGAAGTGTTGTCTCATCTCATCCTTTCTTAAGTGGAAATCCATGTGGGAGTGAATATAATCCTTGTGGGCAGCACTATATAATAGACTAACGAGCTCGCACTAAAAGTTTTTTGTCTTTTTAATGTCTTACCCTCATTTGAAATTCTTTATAAACAATGTTCCATGAACTCTTCACTCTTCTATTCCCCAAGTATACCTGTGTGGGATATAAGTTTGACCGCAATGTCTAAATTATCTATGAACCATCTTTTTTGTTAGACATTCAAAGAGGCTAATGTTGCCAAGGAGGATGCTAAAGCAATGGAATCAAAGGAGAAAATTCCGTCAGATTCAACACAACGGGTAAGATTTCCTATGTTATTTTCTGTCATATTTTGTATTTTTATTTAAAGAGAACCACTGATGAACAATCTTTTTTTCTGTTCTAGTCCAAATTCAAAGATCCTAATGTTGCCAACAAGAATACCAAAGCAGGGGAACTAAACGAGAAAAATCCCACAGCTGCAATAGAACAGGTAACGTCACCTGTCATATTTTTCATTATAAATAAGTGCTGCAATTTTTCATTCATATGTTCAACCCATTTCACTTTCCCACCTCTACAGTTGCTTTTTTGCTGGTTTATTTGTACTATATTTACTTCCACTATCTTTCTAAGGTTTCTTATTTTGTATTCATCATGGTTGTTAGAATCATGTGATTCATGATTCGATACAAGTTTCAACCAAAATGATTTGAATTGTGGTGTTGAAGAGTGAATCATATGATTCAATTTTCGATTCACTACGATTCGCTACGGTTCACTGCGATTCAGATCTGTTTTTTGGTTTTGTTTGCATAATGCATGAAACGATGATGTTTTAAGGAAAGCAAGATCAGCAGGGGAATACTTGGTAATCAACCTCCTCTAATTACTTATTGCAGGTTAACTGTGTAGAGCCAAATCTTATTCAAACTGAAAAGAAAACAGTTGCAGCTAGCGAAATCATAGAAAAGACGGTGACACAAGATTTAAGAGAGAACAAAGTTGTGGAGGTACCTGCAGCGGCAGCTGGTGGTGGAGAGAACAAAGTCACGGAGGTACCTGCTTCAGAGAATGTTCAGAGAGAGTGGACCTGTGCTGCGTGTCATGTGACAACCATGTGCGAGAAAAACTTTCAGTCTCATCTTCAAGGGAGAAAACACAAGGCGAAGTTTGTAGCAGAGGAAAAAGAAATCCAGGTAAAGTTTGTTAATGCTGCTCCTAAAATCCATGAGTTTTATCTGTTTCTGTTGAGAAATTTCAGTGGGTTGCTACTGTTAGTCTTGCTTAGATTGAGGGGAGAGACCCATTCCTCCATTGGGGTTAGAATTTGGAAAGAGGAAAAATTCATTGTCATTTTTAGGGAAAATTACACTGACCTCCCTTGAGGTTTGGAGAAAATACAAGAAGCCCCATAGTTTTGGTTTGGCATAATTACACTGGCCTCCCTTTGATTAAGACTGAATGGACCAAAACTAATACAAATGGTATGAAAAGACAAAGATAAACAAGGAAAAATACACATTTCAGTGTAAAAAGATGACTTCATTTTTTCATCCATATGACTAACGAAATATTAATGAAAATGGAGTAGTGTGAATTAAAACCTTAAAAAAAACGTATGCCAAAACTGTGGGACTTGCTTTATTTTATCCAAACCTCATGTAATTTACCCTTGTTTTTATGCATCAAATTCTACTTAGATAGAGGACACAGGCAAACTCCTTCGGTGGGTTAAAATTTGTAAACCGGGAACATTCACTATTACATCTACATTTGAAGTGTTGTCTCATCTCATCCTTTCTTAAGTGGAAATCCATGTGGGAGTGAATATAATCCTTGTGGGCAGCACTATATAATAGACTAACGAGCTCGCACTAAAAGTTTTTTTTCTTTTTAATGTCTTACCCTCATTTGAAATTGGTTATAAACAATATTCCATGTACTCTTCACTCTTCTATTCCCCAAGTGTTCCTATATGGGATATAAGTTCGACCTCAATGTCTAAATTATCTATGAACCATCTTTTTTGTTAGACAATCAAAGAGGCTAATGTTGCTAAGGAGGATGCTAAAGCAGTGGAATCAAAGGAGAAAATTCCGTCAGATTCAACACAATGGGCAAGATTTCCTATGTTATTTTCTATCATATTTTGTATTTTTATTTAAAGAGAACCACTGATGAGCAATCTTTTTTTCTATTCTAGTCCAAATTCAAAGACTCTAATGTTGCCAACAAGAATAACATAGCAGGGGAACTAAGCGAGAAAAATCCCGCAGCTGCAACAGAACAGGTAACGTCTCCTATCATATTTTTCATTATACATATTTTGGTTCCTCAAGTGCTGCAATTTTTCATTCATATGTTCAACCCATTTCACTTTCCCACCTCTACAGTTGCTTTTTTGCTGGTTTATTTGTACTATATTAACTTCCACTACCTTTCTAAGGTTTCTTATTTTGTATTCATGGTTGTTAGAATCATGTGATTCATGATTCGATTCATATGATTCGATACAAGTTTCAACCAAAATGATTTGAATTGTGGTGTTGCAGATTGAATCGTACGATTCAATTTTCGATTCACTACAATTCGCTACGGTTCACTGTGATTCAGTTCTGTTTTTTGGTTTTGTTTGCATAATGCATGAAACGATGATATTTTAAGGAAAGCAAGATGTAAAAATTTATGTATTATTGATTGATTAATTGATGTATTTGTGATAGTTACAAATTCCTATATATAGAAGAAAATGTGGTAGTAGGTGTAGGAGTGAAGTGGAGGTGGTAGGTGGAGTGTGTGGTAGTGGAGGTGAGTGGAGGTGGAGTGTGTGGTAGTGGAGGTGAGTGGAGGTGGAGTGTGTGGTAGTGGAGGTGAGTGGAGGTGGAGTGTGATGTGTGAGAAAAACTTTCAGTCTCATCTTCAAGGGAGAAAACACAAGGCGAAGTTTGCAGCAGAGGAAAAAGAAATCCAGGTAAAGTTTCTTAATGCTGCTCCTAAAATCCATGAGTTTTATCTGTTTCTGTTGTGAAATTTCCGTGGGTTGCTACTGTTAGTCTTGCTTAGATTGAGGGGAGAGATCCACTCCTCCATGGGGGTTAGAATTTGGAAAGAGGAAAAATTGATTGTCATTTTTAGGGAAAATTACACTGACCTCCCTTGAGGTTTGGAGAAAATACAACAAACTCCACAGTTTTGGCATAATTACACTGGCCTCCCTTTGATTAAGACTAAATGGACCAAAACTAATACAAGTGGTGTGAAAAGACAAAGATGAACAAGGAAAAATACACATTTCAATGTAAAAGGATGACTACATTTTTTCATCCATATGACTAACAAATATTAATGAAAATGGGGTTAAGTGTTGTGTAAATTAAAACCTGAAGGAAACGTATGCCAAAACAGTGGGACTTGCTTTGTTTTGTCCAAACCTCATGTAATTTACCCTTGTTTTTATGCATCAATTTCTACTTAGATAGAGGACACAAGCAAACTCCTTCGGTGGGTTAAAATTTGGAAACCGGGAACATTCAGTGTTACATTTACATTTGAAGTGTTGTCTCATCTCATCCTTTCTTAAGTGGAAATCCATGTGGGAGTGAATATAATCCTTGTGGGCAGCACTATTTAATAGACTAACGAGCTCACACTAGAAGTTTTTTTTTTTTATCTTTTTAATATCTTTCCCTCATTTGAAATTGGTTATAAACAATGTTCCATGAACTCTTCACTCCTCTATTCCCCAAGTGTACCTATATGGGATATAAGTTCGACCTCAATGTCTAAATTATCTATGAACCATCTTTTTTGTTAGACAATCAAAGAGGCTAATGTTGCCAAGGAGGATGCTAAAGTAGTGGAATCAAAGGAGAAAATTCCATCAGATTCAACGCAATGGGTAAGATTTCCTATGTTATTTTCTATCATATTTTGTATTTTCATTTAAAGAGAACCACTGATGAGCAATCTTTTTTTCTATTCTAGCTATTCCCCAAGTGTACCTATATGGGATATAAGTTCGACCTCAATGTCTAAATTATCTACGAACCATCTTTTTTGTTAGACAATCCAAGAGGCTAATGTTGCCAAGGGGGATGCTAAAGTAGTGGAATCAAAGGAGAAAATTCCATCAGATTCAACGCAATGGGTAAGATTTCCTATGTTATTTTCTATCATATTTTGTATTTTCATTTAAAGAGAACCACTGATGAGCAATCTTTTTTTCTATTCTAGTCCAAATTCAAAGACCCTAATGTTGCCAACAAGAATACCAAAGCAGGGGAACTAAGCGAGAAAAATCCTGCAGCTGCAATAGAACAGGTAACGTCTCCTATCATATTTTTCATTATATATATTTTGGTTCCTCAAGTGCTGCAATTTTTCATTCATATGTTCAACCCATTCCACTTTCCCACCTCTACAGTTGCTTTTTTGCTGGTTTATTTGTACTATATTAACTTCCACTACCTTTCTAAGGTTTCTTATTTTGTATTCATGGTTGTTAGAATCATGTGATTCATGATTCGATTCATATGATTCGATACAAGTTTCAACCAAAATGATTTGAATTGTGGTGTTGCAGATTGAATCGTACGATTCAATTTTCGATTCACTACAATTCGCTACGGTTCACTGTGATTCAGTTCTGTTTTTTGGTTTTGTTTGCATAATGCATGAAACGATGATATTTTAAGGAAAGCAAGATGTAAAAATTTATGTATTATTGATTGATTAATTGATGTATTTGTGATAGTTACAAATTCCTATATATAGAAGAAAATGTGGTAGTAGGTGTAGGAGTGAAGTGGAGGTGGTAGGTGGAGTGTGTGGTAGTGGAGGTGAGTGGAGGTGGTTATTCAAACTGAAAAGAAAACAGTTGCAGCTAGTGAAATCATAGAAAAGACGGTGACACAAGACGTAAGAGAGAACAAAGTCGTGGAGGTACCTGCAGCGGCAGCTGGTGGTGGAGAGAACAAATTCATGGAGATACCTGCTTCAGAGGATGTTCAGAGAGAGTGGACCTGTGCTGCATGTCAAGTGACAACCATGTGTGAGAAAAACTTTCAGTCTCATCTTCAAGGGAGAAAACACAAGGCGAAGTTTGCAGCAGAGGAAAAAGAAATCCAGGTAAAGTTTGTTAATGCTGCTCCTAAAATCCATGAGTTTTATCTGTTTCTGTTGTGAAATTTCCGTGGGTTGCAACTCTTAGTCTTGCTTAGATTGAGGGGAGAGATCCACTCCTCCATTGGGGTTAGAATTTGGAAAGAGGAAAAATTGATTGTCATTTTTAGGGAAAATTACACTGACCTCCCCTGAGGTTTGGAGAAAATACAGCAAACCCCACAGTTTTGGCATAATTACATTGGCCTCCCTTTGATTAAGACTAAATGGACCAAAACTAATACAGGTGTTGTGAAAAGACAAAGATAAACAAGGAAAAATACACATTTCAGTGTAAAAAGATGACTACATTTTTTCATCCATATGACTAACGAAATATTAATGAAGATGGGGTTAAGTGTTGTGTGAATTAAAACCTCAAGGAAACGTATGCCAAAACTGTGGGACTTACTTTATTTTATTCAAACCTCATGTAATTTACCCTTGTTTTTATGCATCAAATTCTACTTAGATAGAGGACACAGGCAAACTCCTTCGGTGGGTTAAAATTTGGAAACCGGGAACATTCAGTGTTACATTTACATTTGAAGTGTTGTCTCATCTCATCCTTTCTTAAGTGGAAATCCATGTGGGAGTGAATATAATCCTTGTGGGCAGCACTATTTAATAGACTAACGAGCTCACACTAGAAGTTTTTTTTTTTTATCTTTTTAATATCTTTCCCTCATTTGAAATTGGTTATAAACAATGTTCCATGAACTCTTCACTCCTCTATTCCCCAAGTGTACCTATATGGGATATAAGTTCGACCTCAATGTCTAAATTATCTATGAACCATCTTTTTTGTTAGACAATCAAAGAGGCTAATGTTGCCAAGGGGGATGCTAAAGTAGTGGAATCAAAGGAGAAAATTCCATCAGATTCAACGCAATGGGTAAGATTTCCTATGTTATTTTCTATCATATTTTGTATTTTCATTTAAAGAGAACCACTGATGAGCAATCTTTTTTTCTATTCTAGTCCAAATTCAAAGACCCTAATGTCGCCAACAAGAATACCAAAGCAGGGGAGCTAAGCGAGAAAAATCCCGCAGCTGCAATAGAACAGGTAACGTCTCCTATCATATTTTTCATTATATATATTTTGGTTCCTCAAGTGCTGCAATTTTTCATTCATATGTTCAACCCATTCCACTTTCCCACCTCTACTGTTGCTTTTTTTCTGGTTTATTTGTACTATATTAACTTCCACTACCTTTCTAAGGTTACTTATTTTGTATTCATCATGGTTGTTAGAATCATGTGATTCACGATTCAATTCATATGATTCGATACAAGTTTCAACCAAAATGATTTGAATTGTGGTGTTGAAGAGTGAATCATACAATTCAATTTTTAATTGACTACAATTCGCTACGGTTCACTGTGATTCAGTTCTGTTTTTTGGTTTTGTTTGCATACTGCATGAAACGATGACGTTTTAAGGAAAGCAAGATCAGCCGGAATACTTGGTAATCAACCTCCTCTAATTACTTATTGCAGGTTAACTGTGTAGAGCCAAATCTTATTCAAACTGAAAAGAACACAGTTGCAGCTAGAGAAATCATAGAAAAGACAGTGACACAAGATGTAAGAGAGAACAAAGTCTTGGAGGTACCTGCAGTGGCAGCTGGTGGTGGAGAGAACAAAGTCACGGAGATACCTGCTTCAGAGTATGTTCAGAGAGAGTGGACCTGTGCTGCATGTCACTTGACAACCATGTGTGAGAAAAACTTTCAGTCTCATCTTCAAGGAAGAAAACACAAGGCGAAGCTTGCAGCAGAGGAAAAAGAAATGCAGGTAAAGTTTCTTAAGGCTGCTCCTAAAATCCATGATTTTTATCTGTTTCTGTTGTGAAATTTCAATGGGTTGCTACTGTTAGTCTTGCTTAGATTGAGGGGAGAGACCCACTCCTCCATTGGGGTTAGAATTTGGAAAGAGGAAAAATTCATTGTCATTTTTAGGGAAAACTACACTGACCTCCCCTAAGGTTTGGAGAAAATACAACAAGCCCCACAGTTTTGGCATAATGACACTGGCCTCCCTTTGATTAAGACTAAATGGACCAAAACTAATACAAATGGCGCGAAAAGACAAAGATAAACAAGGAAAAATACACATTTCATTGTAAAAAGATGACTATATTTTTTCATCCATATAACTAACAAAATATTAATGAAAATGGGGTTAAGGGTTGTGTGAATTAAAACCTTAAGGAAACGTATACCAAAACTATGGGACTTGCTTTATTTTATCCAAACCTCATGTAATTTACCCTTGTTTTTATGCATCAAATTCTACTTAGATAGCGGACACAGGCAAACTACTTCGGTGGGTTAAAATTTGGAAATTGGGAACATTCACTGTTACATCTACATTTGAAGTGTTGTCTCATCTCATCCTTTCTTAAGTGGAAATGCATGTGGGAGTGAATATAATCCTTGTGGGCGGCACTTAGGGTTCGTTTGGGAAGTGGGTTGGCTTTTTGGTTTTTTTGGCTATTTTAGCTTGGGGCTAAAAAGCCTGGTTTGGGAAGGCTTTAGGTTTTTTTTGCTTTTTTGGCTTTTTTGTAAGAGAAAGAATGTAATGAATTATGGGTTGGATGTGATGTTTTGTCTTATTTGGCTAAAAAGCCTATTTTGTTTTTTGTGGCTAAAATAGTCAAAAAAGCCCCAACTTTTGCTTCCCAAACGAAGCTTAACGAGCTCACACTAGGAAGTCAAGCCTGGTTTGGGAAGGCTTTAGGTTTTTTTTTGTTTTTTTGGCTTTTTTGTAACAGAAAGAATGTAATGAATTATGGGTTGGATGTGATGTTTTGTCTTATTTGGCTAAAAAGCCTATTTTGTTTTTTGTGGCTAAAATAGTCAAAAAAGCCCCAACTTTTGCTTCCCAAACGAAGCTTAACGAGCTCACACTAGGAAGTTTTTTCTATGTTTTTAATGTCTTACCCTCATTTGAATTTGGTTATAAACAATGTTCCATGAACTCTTACTCTTCTATTCCCCAAGTGTACCTATATGGGATATAAGTTCGACCTCAATGTCTAAATTATCTATGAACCATCTTTTTTGTTAGACATTCAAAGAGGCTAATGTTGCCAAGGAGGATGCTAAAGTAGTGGAATCAAAGGAGAAAATTCCGTCAGATTCAACACAATGGGTAAGATTTCCTATGTTATTTTCTATCTTATTTTGTATTTTTATTTAAAGAGAACCACTGATGAACGATCTTTTTTTTCTATTCTAGTCCAAATTCAAAGACCCTAATGTTGCCAACAAGAATATCAAAGCAGGGGAACTAAACGAGAAAAATCCCGGAGCTACAATAGAACAGGTAACGTCTCCTATCGTATTTTTCATTATATTTTGGTTCCTCACGTGCTGCAAATTTCCATTCAATTTTTCATTCGTATGTTCAACCCATTTACAGTTGCTTTTTGCTGGTTTAGTTTGTACTATGTTAACTTCCACTACCTTTCTAAGGTTTCTTATGTTGTATTCATCATGGTTGTTAGAATCCTGTGATTCACGATTTGATTCATATGATTCGATACGAGTTTCAACCAAAATGATTCGAATTGTGTTGTTGAAGAGTGAATCATATGATTCAATTTTCAATTTGCTATTGTTCACTGCGATTTAGTTCTGTTTTTTGGTTTTGTTTGCATAATGCATGAAACGATGACGTTTTAAGGAAAGCAAGATCAGCAAGAATACTTGGTAATCAACCTCCTTTAATTACTTATTGCAGGTTAACTGTGTAGAGCCAAATCTTAATCAAACTGAAAAGAAAACATTTGCAGCTAGCGGAATCATAGAAAAGACGGTGACTCAAGACGTAAGACAGAACAAAGTCATGGAGGTACCTGCAGCGGCAGCTGGTGGTGGAGAGAACAAAGTCACGGAGATACCTGCCCTGGAGAATGTTCAGAGAGAGTGGACCTATGCCGCATGTCAGGTGACAACCATGTGTGAGAAAAATTTTCAGTCTCATCTTCAAGGGAGAAAACACAATGCTGAGTTTGCAGTAGAGGGAAAAGAAATCCAGGTAAAGTTTCTTAATGCTGCTCCCAAAATCCATGAGTTTTGTCTGTTTCTGTTGTGAAATTTCAGTGGGTTGCTACTGTTAGTGATGTAGGATGAGTATGGATTAGTTTCTTACAAGTAGTGAGCCTGGGTTAAGTGTACTGGCAGCAGCAACAATAGACTTATAGGGTTGGATTTGGTGGGAGTTTGTGGCTGCAAAAGTTTTTGAAAGAATAAGAGTTTAAGGGTTTGTTAAAGGATTAGGGTTTTGGGAATGAAAACACAAGTGTTTATGGGCTGTTGGGTGGTTGTTCTAAGCACCCTGAACAGTGATGTGAATAGTAACCTTACTATATAGAAGGAGAGAGAGAGAGAGAGAGAGAGAGAGAGGTGCTTCGCCCTCACAAGGGATAGGCCAATCACACAGACACAAAATATTTAGCAGCTAATATTCTAGACCAACTATGACTTTCAATTTTACTTCAATTATAATAAGAAACTTTAATGACTTCTAATTCTATTTCAATATCAAAATAAGAAATTTGGACATTTGACCACTAAGATTATTTTACACATGATAAAACTCAAATATAATAACCCATTTAATAACTTGACTCAAAATAAAATCCATGGGCGATCTCTACAACCCATGTCTTACATACCATTGTATCCTTAATTGCTAAAACCTACTCTAATAACATGAAAACTCAAAATAATTGATGCCCTAAATGTGTTTCATGTGAAATTTCATATTTGCTCTTTTTCTTCTGTCGATGATCTTCATCAGTTAGTCTTGCTTAGATTGAGGGGGGAGACCCACTCCTCCATTGGGATTAGAATTTGGAAAGAGAAAAAATTCGTTGTCATTTTTAGGGTAAATTATACTGACCTCCTTGAGGTTTGGAGAAAATACAACAAGCCCCGTAGTTTTGGCATAATTACACTGGTCTCCCTTTTATTAAGACTAAATGGACCAAAAAAACTAATATAGATGATGTGAAGAGGCAAAGATAAACAAGGAAAAAAATACACATTTCAGTGTACAAAGATAACATTTTTTCATCCCTATACCAAACCAAACCAAACGAAGCCTTAAGTCCCATCAAATGGGGTCGGCTATTTTGTTGAAAATGGGGTTGAGTGTTGTGTGAATTAAAATCTTAAGGAAACTCAATATAATTATGCCAAAATTGTGGAACTTGCTGTATTTTATCCAAACCTCGTGTAATTTACCCTTGTTTTTATGCATCAAATTCTACTTACATAGAGGACATAGGCAAACTCATTCAGTGGGTTAAAATTTGGTAATCGGAAAATCCATGTGGGAGTGATTTTAATTTTTGTGGGCAACACTATATAATATACTAATGAGCTCTCACTAGAAGGTCTTTTATCTTTTTAGGCTTCATTTGTTTCGATGTAAAATATTTTACACAAAAAAAATATTTTTCTTGTAAATTGATTTTACACATAAATTATTTTTTTTTTCCAAGCGTTTGGTTGACACTTGAAACAAAAAACATTTTATTGCTTGAAAAGAGAAATTTTGATTTAATAAAGTGTCATTTATGACTTTGTAGTGAGCTAAGATATTTATTTGAAAAAGGCTAATTGTGTTGAAAAGGTAGTGATTGAGAGTCACCTTTGTAAAAATTGACTTACGGAATTTTTAAAGGTAAGTCATTTTTGGAAAAATGATGCAAAGATATTTTCATTAAAAAATGTTTTACTTGCTTTTTGTTCAACCAAACAACGGAAAATGAGTAAAATATTTTTGATAAAAACATTTTACGTCAAAACAAACGGAGCCTTAGGCCTTGTTTGGTTTGCTTTTGAGAAACAAATTTTGGAGAAAATTTTCTAAAATTTTGTTTGGTTTAGTGATTTTGAAATTTTTTTTTCTAAAATCACTTTCTATCTCCTATACATCAATCAATCACTTTTTCTCTCCTCTCTTCTTCTCAATTACTTTTTTTTTCACACACATCTACTCAACTACAACAAAATATTAAATCATCTTAAACTCCCACATTCCAAAATTCTTTCCAAAATATACAACCAAACAAACCAAAAAAATTTCTAAACTCTTTCCCTAAGATTTTTTTTTTGAAAATTTATCTCTCAAAACCAAGACCAAACACACCCTTAGTTTCTTACCCCATTTGAAATTGGTTATAAACAATGTTATATGAACTCTTCGCTCTTCTATTCCCCAAGTGTACCCATATGGGATATAACTTCAACCTCCATCTCCAAATTGGTTATGACTTTAATTATCTAATTTTTAACAAGGAAAATCATAAGAATGATGTGGCAATGTCATTTTTGTAAATAAAAGTTTTTTATGGGTGTTTTGTTTTAAAGTTCAAGGTCCATGTTGAGCCACATTATTTTGTAAGAAAATTCTGTATGAATTTTCTGTTTGTATATCATTACTTCTTTACCAATGTCCGAGGAAAAAGCGGCTAACATTTGATAGTAAAGAAAATTTTATAGTCTTTTTCATTTGTAGGAGGATAGAAATCCTTCTTCCTCCTACCCCAAATCCCATTTAAGTTAAATTAACATTTTAAATAACATCATCTTAAGTCAGGATATTCACTATAGACAATGTATTTAAAATTTTAGGACATAATCAGCATACTCATATTCATCTTTTGGATACACATCTCAAAAATCTAAGACTAAGGATTAGAAGATTAGACATTCGGACACATACCCGGCCTTGATACTCATACCCCATTTGCGATTTGGCAACAATGTCATAACTATAAGGAAAGCAAGATCAGCAAGCATACATGGTAATCAACTTCTGCTAACTACTTATTGCAGGTTAAGTGTGTAGAAGAGCTAAATCTTGCTCAACCTGAGAAGAAAACGGTTGCAGCTAGGGAAACTAAAGAGCAGGATAAGTGTGTAGAAGATCCAAATCTTGCTCAAACTGAGAAGAAAACAGTTGCATCTATTGAAAGTAAAGGAAAGACAGTGACAGCAGCCGTAAGAGAGAACATAGTTGTGGAGGTACCTGCTGCAACATCTGGTGGCGGGGAGAACAAAGATGTGGAGAAACCTGCTTTGGAGAACGTTCAGAAAGAGTGGACCTGTGCCATATGTCAGGTGACAACCACGTGTGAGGCAAGCTTGATGTCTCATCTTTATGGGAGAAAACACAGGGCTACGTGCGCAGAGCTGCAAGCAAGCAAGCAATCAAACAAAGACAAGGGCTGCTCATCTTCGACAGCCAATCAGGAGCAGCCAAAAAAGCCCAATAACCAGAATAAAAGTAAGAAAAAAGAGGACAAGGTGCAAGTGAACCAAACTAGTGAGCAATACAAACAGAAAGAAGTAAACAACACTACTGGTTATGGGGTGAATAATAATTCTCAATTATGGTGCATCATCTGTAATGTCAAGTGCCTCAGTGAGGTTGATGTGGCCTCTCATCTTAAAGGGAAGAGGCACTTGTCCCAGGTTCAAAAGATGTTGGATTCTTTAGGTGGAGGGCATTAATAGGATTATGGAGGTAGTTTATATTTTTTTATTTTTTGTGTTTTATGGTTATGTAGGGATTGTACTAAACTTGTAATGGTCCAGTGAACAGAGCATAGAATTTTTACCAGACTTCCCCAAGATGTAGCGTTGTTATATATATTTTTTCCTTCTTCTAAATTGTTTGATTTGTTTAGCGGTGCTTTCTAATTTCCTTTGTGCATGTCAGGCTTCCATTCTGGCCTTACATGAAGCTAATGGCCATTTGTTGGTTAGGCCTACCCCATTTTAATGGTGCTTGCTATGTTTATGAGTGTCTTATTCGTCTTATTCGTCCGTGTTTATCTGCGAATCCACAAGGAGTTATCAAACAGTTTGTCAAGCACAAGGAGGACATACCTCTCAATGCAGAAAACTTTCTAGCCATGGCAGAGATGTATGTTAAAGAGAACGAATCTGAAGCTTTGGAGAAACTCATTGACAGAAAGGTATGCCATACTCAGTAAGCCTGTCAACAATAGATAAGATGTCTAATGAAGAGTGTTTGAATAATTGGATAATTTTCATAGAAAGCTAAATATTTGTTAACAGAGTCTACTGTTTCATTAGGCTTTGAGTCAGCAAAGTTCATGTTTATAATGTCATATGATAGGATCATTACGTGCAAATGCTGATACGCATGCATACATAATTGTCAAAAGCTCAGATCTTTTCAATTTGGGTACACACGGAATATGCATGACAAAGTATATTCTCTCTCTCTCACTCTATATATATATATATGCTGTTGATTACCCTTTTGCCTTCGCGTCAGTCCAATCATACAATGCCAAATCCATGAGTAGCAACAAATACAGTAGCAAAAGAAAAGGTTGAGACAAGAAATTGTCGAGGCAAAAGAAATGGCTGCAGCAATTCAGGTAAAGTTTCTTATGATGCTTCTAAAATCCACGAGTTTAATCAGCTTCTGTTGTGAGATTCCAGTGAGTGTTAGTGTTGGTCTTCCTTAGATTGAAAGGACAGACACAATCCTCCATTGGGGTTAGAATTTGGAGAGAGGAAAGATTCATTGTTATTTTAGACAATATACAATATATTTGAATGTTTTGGATATTCATGTACTTGTATTGCGTATCCCAATATCAAAGGATTAAGGGTTTAGGGAAATTTGATGCCTAGACATAACCACACCTGATACAAATACTGAAGTCATGTAACAAATGTTAAACCATGATTGGGTTTATCATTGATAAGTATATCCTCTATGAACCATCTTTCTTGTTAGTCCAAATTCAAAGAGCCTAATGTTGCCGAGGAGGATGCCAAAATAGTGGAGCCAAAGGAGAAAATTCCTGCAGCGTCAACACAATGGGTAAGGTTTCCTATGTTATTTTCTATCATATTTATGTTTTTACTTGAAAGACAAAACCACCTATGAATCATTGGTTATTTCCCTTTTCAGTCCAAATTCAAAGAGCCTAATGTTGCTAAGGAGAATGCCAAAGCAGGAGAACTAAATGAGAAAAATCCTGCAGCTGCAACAGAACAGGTAATGTCTCCTATTGTATTTTTCATTATATTTTGGCTCCTTGAGGGCTGCAATTTTCCATTCATTCACCTCTACAGTTGTTTTTTGCTGGTTTAGTTGTGCTATATTAACTCCCACTATATTCCTAAGGTTTCTTATGTTGTATTCATAGTTGTCAAACTGAGATACGAATCGTATATCATTTTTTCTGTTTTTCTGAATTGTGCATTGTATCTTATCATATTGTCGTTAGATTTTTTAACATCTTTAAAAATAGGTAGAAAAATAAATGTATTTATAGAAAAGTAATAGCTTGAGAGAACAAAACACTAATGATGAATAATTCTTAAAATTGCAAAAGTAAGGTTGCTTGAAACATAAAATGCATTTGAAATGCAGAGTGAAGTTAAAATATGTATAAAATACTATCTTAATTCACCATTTAGCTTTTAATATTTAATTTTCAACTTTATAGTTTTCAAATAGGTTGTCAACAGTAGAAAACTTTAAACTTTTACTGGTGTAAGTAGGTATAAATCAACCGCATATGATACTTAAATATTAAACAAATAGATTTTTTTCTTTTAAAAAGTAGAGAAAATAAAAGAAAAGCTACCATTCTCATCTAAAAATAATAATAATAATTTGTTAATGAAAATTTATAACAACATATTAATTTACTAGAAATTAAGTCCAATTACTTTTTTCAAATTTCCTAAAGAAATTGTGTTTTGTAAATTGAATCGTGTATCGTAAGATACGTTTTTCTTAAAATATGTATTGATGACATGTATTGTTTTCTCTCTAAAAATATAGAATCCCAAGATATGCCTGCTAACTACTCACTGTAGGTTAAGTGTGTCGAAGAGCCAAATCTTTCTCAAACTGAGAAGAAAACAGTTGCATCTATTAAAATTGAAGAAAAGACCATGATAGAAGCTTCTGTTTTTCTGAATTGTGCATTGTATCTTATCATATTGTTGTTAGATTTTTTAATATCTTTAAAAATAGGTAGAAAAATAAATGTATTTATAGAAAAGTAATAGCTTGAGAGAACAAAACACTAACTATGAATAATTCTTAAAATTGCAAAAGTAAGGTTGCTTGAAACATAAAATGCATTTGAAATGCAGAGTGAAGTTAAAATATGCATAAATACTATCTTAATTCACCATTTAGCTTTTAATATTTAATTTTCAACTTTATAGTTTTCAAATAGGTTGTCAACAGTAGAAAACTTTAAACTTTTACTGGTGTAAGTAGGTATAAATCAACTGATACTTAAATATTAAACAAATAGATTTTTTTCTTTTAAAAAGTAGAGAAAATAAAAGAAAAGCTACCATTCTCATCTAAAAATAATAATAATAATTTGTTAATGAAAATTTATAACAACATATTAATTTACTAGAAATTAAGTCCAATTACTTTTTTCAAATTTGCTAAAGAAATTGTGTTTTGTAAATTGAATCGTCTATCGTAAGATACGTTTTTCTTAAAATATGTATTGATGACATGTATTGTTTTCTCTCTAAAAATATAGAATCCCAAGATATGCCTGCTAACTACTCACTGTAGGTTAAGTGTGTCGAAGAGCCAAATCTTTCTCAAACTGAGAAGAAAACAGTTGCATCTATTAAAATTGAAGAAAAGACCATGATAGAAGCTGTTGGAGAGAACGAAGTTGTGGACCTGTTGTTGCAGCTGGTGGTGGAGAGATCAAAGTCCAGGAGAGACCCGCTTCGGAGAATGTTCAGAAAGAGTGGATGTGTGCTGTTTGTCAGGTGACGACCACATGTGAAGAAAAATTGAAGTCATTTTTATGGGCGGAAACACATATCCCAGTGTCCAGAGCTGAAAGCAATCAAGCAAGCACAAGGGCTGCTTGTCTTCAACAGCCAATCAGGAGCCCCCAAAGCCCATTTCTGGTGATTGGATAAACCAAAATAAAAGTAAGAAACAAGAGGACATGATACAAGTGAACCGGACTAGTGAGCAATGCAAACAGAAAGAAGTAAAGAACACTACTGGGTATGGGGTGGATAAGTCTAAATTATGGTGCGTTATCTGTAATGTTAAGTGCCCTGGTGAGGTTCATATGGTTTCTCACCTTAGAGGGAATAAGCACTTGTCCCAGGTTCAACATGTAGTGGATTCTTTGGGTGGAGGAGATTAGTAGGATCATGGAGGCAGTTTAGTTATCTCATCCCAACAAGATTAGCATACCTGCAGAAGAAATTAAACATTGACATGGCTGTTTCTACTAATGATTTTGTGGTTTTCAGTTCTGGCTTTTTTTGGGGTCATACCTATCTCGACCTGATAATGTATACAAATGGGATGTTATATATTTTGGAACAGCTTTAGGATTTAACTTGGTTTTTATGTGGCCAGCCATTGATTTGAGGAACTCTAGAAGAGTATTATGATGAATACCGAGTGGTCATCCAAGGAAAATCGACCATGTCCCAATACTCTAGAAGAAAATTTATTCACTTCTTTGAGGTGCAACAAAACTTCACCTCTGACCTTTTGTTGTGTCCAAACCCGGCCCTTGCAAACTTCCAGGATGCTTGAGCTTGACCATGTCCCAATACTCTCTCTCTCTCTCACTCACATGGTAAAAAAAAGGAAAATTGAAGATAAGAACATCAATAATGAAATTCAAGTGGATGATCTCCATACTATTTTTAGAATAAGGTCAAGTTTGGCAATTGTAAAATAATCTATCTTTTTATTTGTTTTTCATCATATCACCTCTCTATTTTTCTGTACATTTTTTCGTAAAAAGACAAAAAGTGTACTTATTTAGGTCATCTCAGACAACTCTTAAATTACAAATATACCTCTTGAAATTTGTTTAAAATACCTATTCTCTTTTATAATTTTAGATATTACAAATGTCCCGTGTTAGAAATTTAATAGAATTAATAAATAAATAACTCAACTAATTTTCTATACAATAATAAAATTACTTGAATTACTAATTGAAATATATTTTAAATATTATTAGAATTAGTTAATTAACTTAATAATTTATTTATAAAAATAAATTATTTATTATGGGATTAAAAACTTTTAAAGGAAGATATTGTTGGAACAATCTTCTATGTAAATAAAATAAATGGAAATAAATCAAACAAAATAAATAAATAACGTACCGAATTTATTTATTGAACTGAATTAGAAGAAATTTCAAAGACCAAGTCGAGTGTGTGACACTCTGTCCTTAAGACAGATTCGTCCCGCTACGGTGCTTACGGTTGAGTGGCGTCTATCTTTCAGGATACAATGATCTTCACAAAATTGTTGTAACATACCAAACAAATTTGTACGGCGAACCAAACCTTGTGTTCTATACTCTCTTTGATTTTTCCTAAAAACTAGAATGAAGATTAAAATGCAAAATAAAATCTGGACACAAAGATGGGTTTTGCAGACTGATTTTTTGGATCCTAAACACTGCTGGAATGTTGGTATTTATAGGCAAAAAATGTTTGACCCGAACAGGTACCAATGAAGTGAACAGATGCAATATTTAAACTGAACAGATTCAGTTTGAAATACAAACACTGCTGCACTGTTTCGGACTGTAGCACTGCTGGACAGTTTCGAAACTGTCTAGGCAGTTTTGCTAACTGTTCAACAGATGGAATTCGGACTAGATCAGAAGCAACAATTATTGGACAATAAATTTGAATTCAAATTCAAATTAATTTTTTCCGCAATAATTTTTTGAAAAAATTTAAATGAATTTCGTCCAAAAAATTAATACAAGTATCGACCCGACCCACACCTGCGCCCGGCAGGACGGACGGACGGCGGTGACACGCGCGTGTGGTGGTTTGGGCTATGGTTCACTTTGTCCATAACTCCTCCCTTCTACAAACTTAGGGTGCCCCTTGGGGCCCAACCCAAGTGTTGTAGGCTAGAGTTTATATACTCAACAAAACTCTCTTAAAGTTTCAATTGCCCCTCAAGTGTTGTAGGCTAGAGTTTATATACTCAACAAAACTCTCTTAAAGTTTCAATGTGGGACAAGCCTCACAAGGAAACCCATATTTAAAACTTAAATGTTCAATTCCACGAACCCGAAAACGACGTCATGTTCACATTCACTCATAAATGGTTTTGATGAACCGTCTTCACCGTGTGACTTGCCACGCGGCAAGGAACACTTCACCTCTTCGGACCTATCCCAAAAGACGTTTGGGGCCCATTTTATTTTGGACTCAAAGTCGGCCCAAAATAAGCCTAATAAACCAATTTTTCCAAACAATCCTCCACATGAATAGAATTTGACGGAGAGCAAATGCAAACAACGATCAATCTATTACAGAGAGTATTAGAAAATAGAAATATTCGCCAAAGATAGTAACTTTGGCTTAACCTTCCCTTGTGAGACACTATCAATTAACTACTAACCAGTGAATATGATGTCTTGCAATTGTTCAGTCGTTTGTGTAAACCAGACAATAGAACTTAAACACACAGTATATCCCCAGACACATGTTCTAGTTCATCCACTATTGTGTTCTTTTTGCCAGCTGAACAACCTGGTTCTTCATGACGTGCTCTCAGAGAATTTAGCCCTTCACAAATCCTCATAGAACCGGCCCAGTCAACACTCACATAGGTTGATTCTATGAAGAGTATGTCTGCCATACTCCACTAGCGTATACCTAAATATTAAGAATCATAAAAGTACTTACTTAAACCTAAAACTTAGGCAGTCATCACTATTTCAACATAGAAATGCGTCAGACGTTGAAACTCTCCCAGTGATTCTTCTAAGTCATACACACCTCGCGTTCGTCCCTTTGAACCTAGATCTTAGATCTCTCAGTCAACTATAGGTGGGTTTGCCGTTGTGGTAATCTTAATTTTATAGGCTTAAGTCCCATTCCCCTCGATGAATTCTCAACTAACTCTCTTGCTAACCCTTTGGTTAGTGGATCCGCTATGTTGTCTTTAGACTTAACATATTCTATGGAAATAATTCCATTAGAGAGTAATTGTCTCACGGTGTTATGTCGACGACGAATGTGTCGTGATTTACCGTTATACATATGACTCTGTGCTCTACCTATAGCTGATTGACTATCGCAATGTATGCATATAGCAGGCACCGATTTTGGCCATATTGGAATATCTTCAAGGAAGTGGCGAAGCCATTCTGCCTCTTCCTCAGCTTTGTCTAAAGCTATGAATTCTGATTCCATAGTAGACCTAGCAATACAAGTCTATTTGGAAGATTTCCAAGATACAGCCGCCCCATCAAGAGTCAAGACATACCCACTGGTGGACTTCGCGTCTCTAGTATCCGATATCCAATTTGCATCACAGTGTAGACATCCCATTTTTGACCGCCCTTAAGACTTGGGCACTACTGATGGTTTACTTGATGGAGAAAGGTGTGCAAGGCAAAAGTTCAATTTCTTCGGCAAGGAGAGAGTCAAATCTCAACTTCACACCCCTTTTGGACCGAAACAATTTTGATCAAAAGATTTTGGACCTTGAAACCCTCTCTTTCAAAATGTTTTGAAAATAAAGTTCCGACGCTCGCATTTTGTTAAATGTTGTGCTTTTCGGTAAACCGAGCAAGGACAAAGTGGAAGTGAATGAAAGAGAGATGAGATCTTTAAAAAATCTTTCAAAACACCTTACTTAGGGGTTTGTAGTTGAAGAAAAGAAGAGAAGGGGGAAGAAACCCAGTTGGGGGAGAAAATGGGCATGAACCGTTAAGAGAGGGACGGGCAGTCCTCGCCGAATCAGGCCTATTCATTTTCATACTTGGATTTCAGCTATGAGGCCACCACCATTGGAAAGCTTCCTTCCGGGGCTTCATTTTGCACTCAAGAATCTCCTAAAGCCAAGTTCGGACGGGGGAGATATGGTTGATTGAAGTAGGGCATCACTCCGGTTGGACCGAATCTGCGCGGTTTCACCAAAATAGGCATAACTTTTTGCACGGGAGGAATTTTGATGCAAGGCTGGTGCCATTGGAAAGCTAACTTCTGGGGCTTCAATTTGGACACCTGGCTGACCACTTTTGAACTTCCCAATCACTAGCCGACCACCTTTCTTTCCGACAGACCAATTTTTTGTCCTGAAAAACCAGAAAAAGTAGCAGGCTGACCAGAAAAGGTGGTCGGCCGACCACCTTAACCTTTTGACCTGGTCGGCCGACCAGGGAAAGTGGTCGGCCGACCACTTGAACTGGTCGGCCAGCTTTCTCCTTTTTTGTCTCAATGAGTTGAAGCCAGCTGTGCCAGCTGGAAGCCTCAGAATGCATCCTCCATAAACGTGTATGGAGGATGTTTAAGCTAGATTTTAAGCTTCTTGGAGAAGCTTTAGACCTTCTCCTCTATAAAGGAAAGGGCCCTCTTCCATGGCTAGGGTTCAGAACCTGTTTTGAGCATACATACACTTTCCCTCCATATCTATATATTCCAAGCTCCAAAAATCCTTGTTCTTGGTCCCATTGCACTACACCTCCAAGAACAACACCTCCATTATCAACCTAAGCACCTAGGAGCTCATTTTCAGAGGTTGGAGAGTTCTTATTTTGGTCCAGAAGCTGCTGGCCCTCTGCTCTACAAGGGTAAGACACTAGTTCCCTCTTTTGGTCCTTATTTTGCTTCATTGTTTAACCTTACTTGAAAGCATTTTTGGGTTTCGTCATAAACTTAAAAAAAATTTTTTTTGAGCTTATAAACATGTTTTTTTAAGGTCATTTTTCTGTTGGGGGTCATCTACCCCCTTGCATGCTTCTTTCCTCTTGTTTTGATCTATGCATTAGAGCATTTGTGTTGGCCTTGGTTTGGCCTTTTAGCCACTGAAATCCAGTGGATTTTCAGTGGCTAACATGTGTTTTTGAGCCTTAAAATCAGAGAGGGGTGACCCTCTCACCTCTTGTTTTGTTTACTAGCTTTCTTGGACTTACAAAGGAGCCCCTACTTGCATGTTGTGGAGTCACATTTTAGGCCCTATTTGGTGAGTTTTAGGGTCTGCCTTAGCTCTGTCCGGAGCCCTTTTGGCCATATTTTGTGTCCCTCATGCATGTGTGGAACAATCCTCTTCAAGGCCTTTCAAAGGGAACTTTCATTGCATGCTTCATTAACCCATTTCAGGGCCTTTTTGGTGAGTTTTAGGACCCTCATAACTGATTTTCAGATGTGGTTTTGCCATGTTACATGTCTATCTTGTATGTGTTGAACAACCCTCTTATTGGCCTCTCAAAGGAGCACCTCATTCTAGCATTTATTGACTGAGTTTACATGGATTTTTGGGGTTTATTTGACATGCCATGTTTATGTTTTTGGCTGGTTTGGTGACCTCTCTTGTGCTTCATATACATGTAGTGAAAACCATGCTTACTAGCCTATGTTGCATGTTGTTTTGGCCCTTCATGTTAGCACTTTTTGGCCATGCCTTAAACTGATCTTAGGCATATTTTAGACTGCTTTAGCTCTGTTTTTGGGTCTCATGGTCTCATGGTATTTTTTTTGCATGCTTGTGGTTCAATACACTTGCTTAGCTTTGAGTTTCGGGGTCCATTACATGCATATACTGAGGTATTTCCTTGTTTTGGGGCTATTATACATCGTATTTAAGAGCTTGTTTGAATGCCATATTGTCATGTTTTATACTCTTTAAATGCGTTTGAGAGTCGGGCTTGTATGCCTCA